GAATTGGGTCAACTAAATTAACAAAATCTGCCAAACCAACTAAATACATTCTATAAATTGCATGATATTTAACCAAATTTGAGGGAGTTTTGTTTTCCCCTGTTCAGCAGCTGTTGTTGATATCAGAATGTATGTTTTAGACACAAGCCACATAATATGCAGTGGATGCCTTCTATTCTAAAATTCCCTTCAAAATTTACTGTTATTCAAAACGAAAATTCCTTTAGGCTTACTAAATAAATAAAATAGTTTAAAGTTCAATGTAGGATATTACTTAATTTTTGGCCTAAACCATAGTCATAATTATAAGATGTATTGTTTTATATAGTGTACTGAATACAAACTGACAAACATAGATTGCTTCCTGGCACTCGATCTCCATCATTAATTGCTTATTGTTGGTGCTGATGCTAAAACATATGGAAATTTTAGCTTTTTGCTAATCGAAAAAACGTTTGTTTCTCCATTCCAATGAACGAAATGATTTAACGTTCATTTAAGGCTGGGGTCGTCAACCTATGGCTCGCGAACCAGGTTTGGCACTTTTGATGACTGCGTCTGCATTTAGAAACTTCAGCTTTTGTGATTTTGGTTCCTCCAATGACGTACCGCCACCAAGACGTGTATTAAAATCAATTCAATCTCGACCAATCTCTGGCGTATCGGCCCCCCTAGGTTTGAACTTGCAGTTGTTTCAGTGTTCCGTTTCCGGCCAACAAACAGCAGCTGTTTCCGCTTTCTCTTGCGTCCAAACGGCCGCGATAAGCTCGCTAAATAAAAACACCCTACTAAAGCACGACAGCCCCCAAACTTGACGTCAGCTTTGTCAAGGTCATGCTGGCAGGCAAGTTTATCTTACGCTCATAGGTTAGCCTGCCCTGTGACCTATAGTCCCTTGTGTTTATGTCCCCCAGACGGACAGCAAGCAAACAGTCCATTTACGAAGACTTGCCTTGTGTACTAGTTAATCGCTCCTAACATCTGACATCTTTATTTCATCAGACGGAATACTCTTCGTGTAGTGGTAATATTAGATCGCATATCCTTGACCGCAACACACATACTCTCTCTCTCATTTGCCCAAAGTTACCCCTGCAACCAAGGAGGTGGCGAAAAGGATAAAAGATGAGGAGTATGTTGCATTTCAAAACGAATTGGCCGCATGGATCTACGTTCGCATGTGAGCAGCCATTCTCACATCTTAAATAGACCAAGTTCACCCTATGATCACGTCTAACTAATGAAAGCCTCAACGCTTGCATGGACCTTAACCTCAATAACTACCAACCAGACTACAACGCCGTCGGCAAATGCATGCAGCACCAGAAGTCACATTAACAATGAGTATTATAAGAAATTATTTAAAAGTGTAAATCTAGGGGCTTATTATACTCACATTTAATTTAATCCTATCTTAAAATATATTATATGGCTCTCATTGAAATAGATTTCCAAATTTTTGCTTTCTTGGCTATCTGAGTCAAAAAGGCCGCCGACCCCTGATATGGGGTGTTATAACGACAACGCGTGTATGCCAGTCATTTTATGCTACATACATAGCCGTCCCCAGCAAGTGAGCAGTTTATGGAAACGCGAACTATATTGGAATATTTATGCTTGTTGACGGCTTATTCAAACGTGAATCTCATTCGTCTACTTTGGCCTGAGACCGGCATGTCTATTTAGAGATGTAAGTTGGTAAGTAGGAAAATCAATAAACCATGGTATATTGCTGAATGTGTTCACGTCAATCATTAATTGTCCAAAAGCCAAGGAAATGGACTGATCGAAATGTTATTTTATCTTAAAAAAGCGCATTGGATCAACAAATCCTTCTACTTTTGAGCATGTGCACATGCTGGTGTACTGAAGCGGGTTGGTTACTAGGGGCTATAAATTGCTATACATATAACAGCTGAATTTCTGTCTGAAGATCACCCAACATGTTCGAGTTTCGCCGACGTCAGATGGCTGTAGAATCGGGTGCGAAGTCCTGTTCCTTCAATGTCATTATCTTCGGTGTGCTTCTGGTTTCCAGCCTGACGGCCGCGTCCGCTGCCATCATACAGACACCCCATCCAAATCAACACGCGAGTCAACCAAGCAGGGAGAAAATGGGCGTTTCAGAGGTGCCTCCGTCTCAAGAACACAGCAACCTGCAGCAGCTCATCGAAAGTGGTCAAGTTAACTCAGCACGGCCCATGGAGTCTGGAATGCAGAACGCGGTAGATGAGACAAGTCACAACAAATCCCACCCCAGTTCAACTCCTACCGGTAAGGTTTTTGGCGTTCAGATGCACTAGCATGTTTTTTCGCAATCAGTAATCTTAAGTACTTTGTTCTCAGGGGATAAATGCCAATTCTAGAATGTGAAAATAGGCGAGCTGTTGTCGTTTATCTAGTACCTATAATGCAGATCGGTCAGTTAATATTACTGTTACTCCGTGGCCGACCCCGACGCCAGGTGGCGATCGAATTTTGCTCCCACCCCCCAGTGACAGTCGTTCGCTGCGCGCAAATAACAGCAATTATCACTCCATGTATCTGCCCTCTGATCAACCCCCACAACCTAACCCGATTACTTCCCTTACCCCTCCTCCCCCTCCCTCAACGCCCGAACCTCAACACGCCGACCTCGCCATGCGGGCGACGCGTAAACGATGAGTTGTAATTAGACTACACTATTTAACCCTGTCCATCTGTACAGTTTAAATTATCCTGCAAATGTTGTGGCCTGATGATGATTTGCTGAAAACAAATGTTTGCCAAGTTGACTTCTAAACTTAAGAATGGGAATATTTGCAGAATTACTATGTAGTATAATATCGTCAATGGTATCCGACCACTTAGGATAATACCCACCATTCAAAGGAACGCAGACGTGAAGAAGTAAGTAACATTCCATGTCATTTGAGCTAATGTCGGATAAGGTACTCAAGGGTCGTGTCAGAGCCCCAGCCTACTGACATGCAATTGATGGCAAAATGTCGGCATACTTTACACCCAACCTTCATGGAAAACGATAAACTGTGAAGCTATTTAGGTATGGGAGATGTCCAGGAAGGATGGGTGAGCGATGCCTTACGAGGAGTTTCATTTTTAGCTAAGAGCTTTGGAGCCTTATCTGTTCTTCTCACTGTTAGTGGAACAAAAAGCAGACTTTCTACAGGCTGAAACCCGCTAAGTTACTCTTACATTTCTATAGTTACTGCTGTCTCCTCCAAATTCCAGTTTACAGTATGATTTCGAATCCGTGTAACATGCTGACATATGCGAAGATTGATGCCTTTAAGTAGTCAGAACTGAGTAAGGTCGCAATACTAGTTAGTCTGTAGTCTATTCTGAAGCCGTTTCAGTCACGATATGATGCCGGCTTTTTAACAAGCTTCCTTTTGACCGTTAAAAAACGCATATACTGTAAACAATGGCTACTGGAATAGTATGCATTTTGACACACATTTCGACTGCCTCTATAAATTCAAATATATGTTATGGAAAACGCGCACGAATAAATTACTTCTTGTACTTGTTTGGTAAGAACTTGTGCTTTCTTTAAATGCTATATTGACTGCTACCCTTGAATTCGAGGTTTACATCCTGTTTAAGGAAGAGTACATTTTCGCTCATGATTTGAAGAAGTCACATAGTTCTCATAAAATATTGTAGCAGATGTGGAGCATGCATTGTAGGTATCAATAATAAATTGACAAATGTGATGCATAATGAATGAAAAACTCACCATCGTAATGAGCCCATAATTAGAAACATTTTAAAAGCAAAATATATCCTTTTTTTAAGTATACAATTTAAGGAAGGTGTAACTTTCTACCAAACGAGTACAAGAAGGACTTGTCCCCTGTGTATGCTTTCCGTAAACGATATCTGAATTTATAGAGGCAGTCAAAATCAGTGACAAAATGCATACTACTTAGGAAGCCACCTTTTCACTTCATAAGTTTTGTTAGCGATCAGAAATAAGCTTGTTAAAACACCAGCATCTTAGTATAACTGAAATGGCTTCAGAATGGACTACGCAATAATCAGTATTACAACCTTACTGAATGTCGATTAGCGAGAGAGTATTAATATTTTGTATATGTCAGCCTGTTACACGATTTCTACACTGTACTTTATATGCTGCCAGATTAGACCTTAACGGCATTTTGACGCAGTGTGTTTAGTTCAGGCCTCTCTGATGCCCCACCTGAATGTTGTCCTAAATTGATATCGGAACCATGCCGTTGGAAATTGCTTCATGCATGTTTGCCGAATGGGGCGCATCCGTTTCGAACTAAGCGGGCCCATTCTATGAATATTAAGTTTTTTTAGAAGTTACACAAATACTCCAAGTGAAAGTAGTGATTTATCAACTTTAGGCTTTTTCCTTCAGTGCAATAGAGCAACATACCTTGATTTTCCTTCAGAGATGAAGCTGACTGAGAAAAAGACAATTCGATCGCCGGTACAATACTTTTATTCGCCTGAAGTTTCGAAATGCGTCGCGGATTCATCATCAGAGACACGATCATAAAAGGGTAGCAGAAACGGGTCTGCTACCGTTTTATCCCCTGAAGCTGATTGTCGCACATACGACTGTATCACGCTCATCCTGAAAACCAAACATCTTGCTGCATTCTTTTAATCATAACACCAATTAATTTTTCCAACTTATCAAATTTATGCTGTTGCTTATGCAAAATATCGCATTTATTGTTATTGAATTACTAGCCGATGTTACGGGAGACGTCAGCCTATCAGATTCTGATGTTCAGCCAATGCGTGCTGAAGATACATACGCTGAGAATAAGCATTCCAGACAACATGCGCCAGTTAAGAAGCCAGAGGCTGAGAATGCAGACTTCAATGGGAACAAAACACGTAAAGCAGGAAGATCAACGGGGTCTGACGATCTTACCGTACCGACCGTGAGGTAAGTTTGACGCCTTTTATCGCACCTGTGCCGACGGTTGTAACAATCAAATTTTTTTCCAAACCATCTTCATCAGATGAATAACAAACGTCCAACTTGGCACACTTCGTGTCACTCCGAGAAACTACATTTGCCACTTTACACAGTAATGATGTTAATGTAAAATGCTCACTCAGTAAACCGCTATTTGAATGGTCTTTTTTGTGCGAACTTTATGCCATACGTAAAGGCATATATCCAGTTAACCAGATATAATTTCCCAAGAAAATTGACCTGCATTAATTCTACTAGGGATAAGATTACTGGTCAATGCAAGAGATAATTGCTTTTTAATAAGTTTGCAATTGGTTCAAAAAAATTGTTGGCACGCTAGATTGCCAATGGAGATGGTTCATTGAGAAGCCGTATGTCCTTAGTACAGATAACATAAGTTTAAACTGCAACAGTGGCTTATGTAGGCCAACTCATTATCCCTACTCCCTGAATGTTTTCCTACGAAACGGTGGTGATAGGGTTTTATGGGTGGGGAATTAAAACACGTAGTGGAATATACTTGGATAAATGCTAAATGCATTTTTATTTTACTTTATTTAGAAGTGTTGCTGATTTATATCTGTAGATTTTCCTAATCTGTATTATCATTTAACTTATTGCGGAAAAACCCGATCATCAAATTGCAGGTTCCTTGAATTTCCCGAAAGATCTTATTGCGGAAAAACCCGATTATCAAATTACAGGTTTCTTGAATTTCCCGA